CGAAGCGGGTCAGGTTGCAGAAGATGCACTCGATCCACAGCACCTCCATCCGCCCTGCGCGATTTTGGGGCAAATTCCGGCGATTTTGGGAAAAATTTGGGATTTTTGGGACCACCCGGGACCCCCCCGAACCCCCCCGGCCCCGCTTACCGCATTTATTGGGGCAATAAACTGCGGAAAAAGGGAAAATTGGGTTAAAATGGGCGGTTGGGGGTGGGAGTTTTGGGGAGGGTTTGGGGGATTTTGGGGGAAATTTTTGGGGAGAATTTGGGGGATTTTTGGGGGGAATTTGGAGGAGAATTTGGGGGTTCCTAGAGGGGATTTATGAGGAATTTTTGGGGGGATTTTTGAAGATTTTGGGAAGAATTCGGGGGAAATTTTTTGGGGTTCCAAGGGCGAATTTGGGGAGGGATTTTTGGGGTGTTTTGGGGGGGTTTTGGGGTCCCACCCTGGCTCTGGAAACGCTTCATGAGCCGCTCGAAGTCCTCCTTGATCTCTCTCATGGCCCAGAGCAGCTCCTGGTGAATCTGCCCATCTGGGGGCATTTGGGGAAATTTGGGGCTTTTTGGGGCTTTTCTTTTAATTAATCAAACCCCAATAAAAACCAATAAAAACCCAAATAAATCCCTAAAAATGACGCAAATTAAACCCCAATAAAATCCCATTGAAATTCAAATAAATCTCTAAAAATTACTCAAATTAAAGCCCAATAAGTGGCGTAATAAAGCCCAATTTAATCCCACAAAAAACCTCAATTAAACCCCAATAAATCCTCCCAATATGACCCATTTAAACCCAAATTAAAACCCAAATAAACCCAAATAAAAACCCAATAAAACCCAAAAAACCCCCAATTAAAAACTCTGATAAAGCCCTAAAAATTACCCGAATTAAACCCCAATAAAAACCCAATATATATCCCCAATAAATCCCCAATTAAATCCCAATAAAAACCCAATTAAACCTCAATAAATTCCACAATAAATCCCCCAATAAAAACCCAATTAAACCGAATTGAATCCCCCAATTAAACCCCAATTAAATCGCAATAAATGACCCAATTAAACCCCAATTAAACTCCAATTAAACCCCAATAAATCCCCCAATAAAAACCCAATAAAAACCCCAATTAATCCCCAATAAAAACCCCAATTAATCCCCAATAAAAATCCCAATAAAATCCCAATAAAAGCCCAATAAATCCCCAATAAAAACCGAATTAAACCCCGATAAATCCCCAATAAAAACCCTAATAAATCCCCAATAAAAATCCCAATAAAAGCCCAATAAATCCCCAATAAATCCCCAATAAAAACCGAATTAAACCCCGATAAATCCCCAATTAACCCCAATTAACCCCTCGATGCCCGGGGGTGTTTTTGGGGTCACCTTGCAGGTCCTGGGTCATGACCCTGTTCAGCGTCCGGCGGAAATTGCTGGAAGCTTCCTCCAGGGTGGCCTGGTCTGGGGAGGGATCCCGGGGGGTCCTGAGATCCCCACAAAATCCCCAAAATCTCGAAATTCCCCCAAATTCCCCCAAAACTCCACCCAAAATCCGCCCCCAAATCGCCTTCCCAGCCCCTCTTTTTCCCCCTCTGGATTTGGGATGAATTTGGGGAGGGGTCTGGGCAGTTTTGGGGGGTTCGGGAGGGGATTTGGAGAGGATTTGGGGGTCCCAGGTGGTTATAGGGTCCCAGGGGATGGGTTAGGGGTATCAGGTGAATTTGGGGAGGGGTCGCACTGACCGATGACCCCCATGAAGCTGCGCGGGTCCCTGGGCAGGATTTGGGGCGGATTTTGGGTTATTTAGGAGGGGATTTGGGGGGAATTTGGGGGTCCCTGGGGTCTCAGGGATGGTTTGGCGGTCCCGGGGGTTATANGGGGGTCCCGATGAGGATTTTGGGGGTCCCGATGAGGATTCGGGGGGTCCCGACGAGGATTTGGGGGCGCTGGCCCCGGCGTTCCTGCTGGGGCTGTGCCTGGAGCACGCGGCCAAGGAATTCCCGGCGGGACATTTCCCGGAGCTGCTGGGGAAGGTGGCGGGGATGCTGCGGGAAACGGTCTGGGTGAGCGACAGGGACGTTTGGGGACATTTTGGGACATTTTGGGCTATGGGATATTGGGGGATTTGGGGGTTTTGGGGGGACATTTCCCGGAGCTGCTGGGGAAGGTGGCCAGGATGCTGCGGGAAAGGGTCTGGGTGAGTGACACTGGGGACATTTGGGGAATAGGGGAGAATATGGGACATACTGGAGCCATACTGGGACTGAACTGGGAGGGATACTGGTCCATACTGGGAGTGAACTGGGATGGAAACTGGGACCGAACTGGGAGGGATACTCGGAGGGATACTGGTCCATACTGGGAAGGAAACTGGGTCCATACTGGGACGGAAACTGGGGCTGAACTGGGAGGGATACTGGGAGGGAAACTGGGTCCATACTGGGAGGGAAACTGGGTCCATACTGGGAGTGAACTGGGATGGAAACTGGGAGTGAACTGGAAGGGATACTGGGCCATACTGGTCCCTACTGGGGGGGAAACTGGGGCCATACTGGGGCTGAACTGGGAGGGACTCTGTGGCCATAATTGGAGGGATACTGGGGCCATACTGGTCCATACTGGGAGTGAAACTTGGAGGGAAATTGGGACTGAACTGGGAGTGAAACTGGGGCCATACTGGGCCATACTGGGGCACTGAGGGTCCCTCCCTCTCTCCCGGCAGGAGAAAATCAAAGAAATCGGGGACCGGCAGCCGGAGAGGTGAGAGAGACCCAAAATCACCCCAAAACTGCCCCAAAACCTTCCCTGGGGACTGGGACAAACTGGGAGGGACTGGGAC